GGAACATTTTCCTAAAATCACGTGATCGGCGTGACTAAACGGGGAATAAAAACGGCGTTCCGGTATAACTCGAAACGCGGCTATTGAAATGCGTGTAGCTTCAAAAAGAATGTGATAACCCCACTTCATATTTTAACCAAAATTCACTTTATAATAATTGTTACAAAATATATTAATTTTAGGAAAAGAAGATGGGTGAACATTGCGATCAATAAACCTATTCACGACTTAAGACAACGATCGCGAATCGGGAATTTAAATTCCACATTGATTTTACCTTTATTTTACAATGGGTACAGTACCGTACTAAAACGTTACCTTGAATGTTTAACGCAGACAATGGAGAATATAAAAAGAAATAAAACGAATAAAAAAGGAAGAAATATTCTCCAAAACATACCTAATCAGAATCATCATCGGAGTTTGTTTCACAAGCTGCATCGTGTATATTGGACATTAAGTGGTTTTTTACTGACACATAACTACATTGATGTCTGGAGTACCCAAGATACCATATGACGCTGCATATGTGCGCGCAGCATCCTACGGTTCGGGCCCCACATTTGCACTGACAAAACCAACCAGAAATATCCGTGGATGAATATGACACCTGACCCCACCTCTGATGATTGGAGGTCCGTGTTTGCTCTGCTCCTATTTTGTATTGTTTTTGATCTTGAATACTGTTCGTTATCTCCATATATTTCATCTAATCCACAAATTATAAACAAGTTTATTTCTGTGTCGAGATTGAATCTTTGCATGAATTAAATCACTGTCATTCTTGGACACATCAATAAGATATTGTCCATTTTCAAGATGTTCTGAAACGTAAGAACTTGCTTGTTTCAATTGGTAAACGCCAAAAGTTATTTGACGGACATAGTCCTCAGTGAGGACTGAAAAATCTGTGATAATGTCTTTGGCGTCTATACGCCTCCATGTTTTAGAATTTTCACGATATTTTAGAGAGGATACATCATCTCACCCCATTCGTTGTTTTGCTGTAGCATTTTCCTTTGACTTGAGGAGCATTTGGTAACCAACTTTAAGATCATCGGCATCATTCGATTTAAGTGGTGGCTTGTATTTATTTATTATGCTACTCACAATTCTAATATAATCACCAATAAATGAAACTTGACTATTGTGTACTACTGATCCTTACGTCGCGGGTTCGAAACCCACTGTGGGACGGGAGACCGGTCCTTCGGTTGAGATCATATTAACCGAGGTCCCGTGTCGCAGCAGGTGCTGGCACGAAAAAGATCCCTCACTGCTCAATGGACTTGACTGTCGTGTATAGGTCAAAATTTGCAGCTCTCCACCGGCAAGTGGTGGCGTCTCCATATGAGTGTAACATTCTCGAAAGGGAAGTTAAACAAAACACAAACAAAACAATCTATCGTCAACTTCCCTTATTTAATTAGCAGTAAACGAGGCAAACTATTGACAAAAAGTTTCTGAAACAAGAATATTAACGGTCTCGTTTAGAGTCAATATTTCGCAAACTATATGGTAGTTATAATGACCTTGTCAGCAAATACAATCTATCTATCTAAGTCGAATGTTTACTAACGTTTTTTCATACTAATTGTTGTGCCATTTTTTTTACACTGAATTATCTACGGATTTTTCCGTTTGTCCGATCATAACAAGGAGCACACGGAGAGTGTGATCCGTCGACAGGGGGTGCTTAGTCCTCCATGACACTTGACCCGCTTCTGATGATTTTAGAGGTCATTGTTTGCTCTGCTCCAAATTTATATTTCAGCGTGATTACTATTCGTCTTTATTTTTCGTACATGACATATATTAACACCCCCACCCCACCCCCGCTTCTCTGTTAATAAAACTATTTTACTGTACCTGTTGGTGATCATTCTCAAAATTTTGTCTACATTTCTTTTTGGATGCAACAAAATACACTTACTGACCAATACCCTAAAGAACTCTAATCAAATGTTTCAATTAAAAGAATTGTGTCCAGACAAGGTAAGTATATGTGGTGGGGAGGGGTTATACAAGGTTCAAATCTTTATACTTATATGTAAGTACATGTACACTCTAACCTTGACGACTGTATATATCATGCCAGCAAATGTTTGTTAAAACAACAACACAGAACGTGCCTTTTACTCCCCAAATTGTATCTTAAATAAATACGGATAAATGATGACTTTAAGCTCTCTATTAGACTATTATTAAGTGTTTTTTATAATTGTAAGTAAAAGTGAATGACAAGGCGTAGAAAGTTTAAATACATATTTCAAAATACAAAAATTATAATTATGCATTTTTAAAGATAAAAAAATTACCACTATAGTAACTACAGATGTAATTTTTTTATATGTACATGCACAGGTGACGTTTTTACCATTTTACTTTCTAAATACAAATAAAAGTTGGATTTATATTTAACATTCGGGGTCCGGTTCGGGTTCGTTTTGTTTGAGGTTGTGTCTGTTTTGTACTTTACTATCTGTCAAATCTCATTACCTCTTCTAAATTTCTATTATTATTATGCCCTTTAGATCATTTTAACATTTAGTAGACAAGAGATAAGATTAGAACACTGTACATGTATATTAAAGACTTATGAACCTTATGACTTCAGTGGAGGACTAAAAAAATACTTAACATTTTAAATGATTGAGAGAAATCTAACAATTGACATATAATTACATAAGATAAACTTTAATGGAAAAAACAAACATTTAAACAAGGAAGTTCATTTCTTCATGTGACTAGATATGGCGGATTTTCAATCAATTTCGTAATATTTTTTCTTTTGAATTATGGCGTATTTTTCCCCAAAAGGTCACCCAAATCATAAAAGATGTGAAAAGTTATGTACGCAGTTTATAATGAAAGGAGAGGAAATTACCTTTTCAATTAAATGACCCTTTGAAAATCCCTGGTTTCGGATCTAAAGAAATTTATGAAAGTGTTACATGTTCCATTTAAAATACAAAGCTATATTCAACAATATAAATGTATAATTGATACTAAGGCAAATAAAATAAAGCAATAACGATATATATATATATATATATATATATATATATATATATATATATATATATATATATAAGCATAGAATCAGGAAGATTTTTAGAGCCTTTTTTGTTTTGGTAGCAGTAGAAAGAACTCTGGATAATAACATAGCTATCCGTGTACATTTTTCATCACTTGTGTGTGTTGAATATCACGAACACATTCAAGCCATTGCCTTAAGCTGGGATTTGATCTCACTTTTCCTACTTCAGATATAAGTGTTTTCCAATTATAGTAATCAAAATTCTAATTGAAAATACAAAGAATTTTAAGGAAGTATAGTGCGGAGGAAAAATGGTGGAATGGTTCAAGTTATTGTGCCTTTTAGTGGTCTTCGTTGTTGCAACAGAATGCTTTGGTAATGTTGTTTAATAATTTTAAAATAGAAGAGTTGTCAACAGAAATAATACATTTTTGCTAAATCGGACTTAAATTCAAGTTAAATGTTAAAACTTATAAAAATCAAACATTACATTCATTTTTCTTTTTTTCGGGCAGCAATTTATTTTCCATGATATACATGTATACTTGGAAATTATCCCGGTGTATTTTGCTCGTTGCGATTGTGAATCACAATCATTATAAAATGGTCTATTTTAAAAAAAAAAATACTTGTGACAGAAATGTGAAAATATCTAACAATTATCAAGCTCAAGAATTCAATTAAACAATACAGAAGCATCCTATGTCCCGTCGTGAAACCTTGGTCTTGATCCGATAAACAGCGTGATTTCTAGTAAAATAAAAACATCAGTGTAAATATAATGACCTTAAATTTGGCGCAAGCACATATACTCCCTATGCATTATTGAAAATGACTTGAATAGAGAGAATGTTCTTGCTTATGGATTTTTCAAGGTATCCTAGCCTGTATTAAAATAATTGAATATCACTCAAGTTTTTTTAGCACCTTCTCAGCTCAAGAACAATGACCACAGTAATTATCAGTAAATCTCAGCATCGACAGCACATCAACAGTATTTATAAGTATTTATCAGACTCAACAGTAAAGACGACAGTAATTATCAGTATTTATCAGAAACAACTAAAATTATCAGTAACAACAGTAAGAATAACAGTAATTATCAGTATTTATCAGAAACAACTAAAATTATCAGTAACAACAGTAAGAATAACAATAAATATCAGTATTTATCAGCAAGAACAGCACAGTATCAGTAATTATCAAACATTATCAGTAAATTTTGGGATTCTCAGCACTTTTTTCGTCCAGTAGTGCCTGTAAGTGTGACTTGGGTTTGGCTTTACTGGAATTCTTTTTTGAGTTTGGGTCTCAAATTTACATCCACCCTATATCTAAAATCTTTTTATCATTGCGTTTACGATCTAAATCGGCCTACAAGCTGTGAAATAATATGTATAAGCAAAGATATGATTACATTGTCTTATATTTCACAAAGTATAATCATCTTCCATCAACCTATTTTTTTTATTTATTCATTTGTAGAAAATCTCAGTCAACTCTCGGAGTATGCAGGCCATGCGACGCAGAGTGAATCTTACAGGTACCCGGCCAAGTACACAGCCGACAAAGCAGTTGATGGATATTTTCAAGAAGATTTTGGTGAAGACACCTGTAGCATCACCCTAGCTAACCCCCATATTCGAAGGGCTTGGTGGAAATTCCCCTTAAAACGAAAGGCCAATGTAGCTTATTTGACAATCTTTTTTCGAAATTCAAGTAAGATTTTTATCCATGAAAAAGAATGCGACAGTATACGTAATATTTTATCACAACAATATGATCTAATCCGAAGAGGTTTTAGCAAATAAATATATAACGGCCTATTAAATGGTAAACATAGATATTTTTTTGTTTGTTTCAAATCTGATTTTTGGATGAAAAAAAAAAATGAAATTTATATTTGTGGAACTCTTCCGTTTTATCTGTATTTTCGTTAACTCCATATAATTAAGCAAAAATGACAGAACAAAAGAAAAAACATTCTTTGCAAACTATTTCAGCTGTCAATCGGCACACGGGATTTTCTGTTTTTGTATTTGATGACTCGTCTTTTACACCGCCTTATGGATATGGAGAAAAAGTCTATTCCCACAATCCTTCTACGTGCCCACAGGTAGAGATGAATATAACAGTCAATAAAGTGACTCAAGGAATAGCTCTGTATAATTCAAAGAATCCTCCCTTGGACACAAACTGCACAGAATATGAACCGACATTTGCTACCATTGAAATATGCGAAGTACTTGTTATAGGTATGTTTTTCTACATGTTAGGTGCAATAGATATGCCTCTATTTTTATGCCCCCGGATCGAAAGATCCTAGGGGTATATTGTTTTTGTCCTGTCTGTCTGTTGTTAACTTAACCTTGCCCAAAACGTTTGATTGGTTGGAGCTATGACTTTCATATTTCACATGTGTATTCAGTGTGACAAGACCTTTCTTTGGGTACCATCATATTTGACCTTGACCTTGGAGTTTGACCCACTTTTGCAAAATTTTATGAGACTTTAACTTTGGCCATAACTTCTGAACAGTTGGTGCTTGGGGTTTCAAACTTCACATGTGTATTCTTTGTGACAAGGCCTTCCTTTGAATACCAACAACTTTGACTCTTTGACCTTGGAGTTTGACCTACTTTTGAAAAACTTTAACCTTGACCATAACTTTTGAAGGGTTGGAGCTACGGCTTTCATACTTCACATGTGTATTCCTTGTGACAAGACCTTCCTTTGGATACCAACCACTTTGACCTTGACCTAGGAGTTTGACCGACATTTGAAAAACTTTGACCTTGGCCATAACTTTTGAATGGTTGACTCTAGGGCTTTCATACTTCACATATGTATTCCTTGTGACATCACCTTCCTTTGGATACCAACCACTTTGACCTTTTGACCTTGACATAGGAGTTTGAACTTCTTTAGAAAAACTATAACCTTGGCCATAACTTTTGAATGGTTGGTGCTAGGGCTTTCATACTTCACATATATAATCCTTGTGATAAGACCTTCCTTTGGATACCAACCTCTTTGACCTTGATCTAGGATTGTGACCTACTTTTGAAAAACGTCAACCTTGGCTATAACTTTTGAATGGTTGATGATAAGGGCTTTCATACTTCAGATATGTAATCCTTGTGACATCACCTTCCTTTGGATATCAACCACTTTGACCCTTTGACCTTGACATAGGAGTTTGACCTACTTTTCAAAAACTTTTACCATGGCTATAACTTTTGAATGGTTTGTGCTAGGGCTTTCATACTTCACATATATAATCCTTGTGACAAGTCCTTCCTTTGGATACCAGCAACTTTGACCTTGACCTTGTCGTTTTACTTACTTTTAAAAAACTTTAACTTTCGCCATAACGTTTGAACAGTTGCAGCTGGGCTTTCAAATTTCACAGGTATATTCCTCGAGACAAAACTTTTCTTTGGGTACCAACATTTTTTATCTTTTGGCCTGGATTTTGACTTGCATTTGAGAAACTTTAACCTTCGCCATAAGCTGCCATACGGGGGCATCAGTGTTTCACAAACACATCTTGTTCTTCCTGATATACACGCAAGGCATGATGCATGATTATGGTTTAGCTATTTGATTAAATATTGAATGCTTTCAGGTTGCCCAGTAAAACATTATGGGAAAAACTGTACCTTTTGCAGTCAGAGATGTCGGGATCGACAGTGTGACGTATTTAGTGGTTCCTGTATCAATGGATGTAGCAACACATTTATGACGTCATCAGATTGTTGTATTATGCCATAGCATAAAATCAATTTTAAAAACAAATTGCTGCCATATCCTTTTGAGATCAATTTCAATAGATATAAATAATATAGTTTTTACCATCAGAAATGTATATTTAAATTCTAACAAGCCATTCTTTCAATCAGAGTTAATGCACCTGAAGTTGGTCTATTTTCACTAAGAAGGTTAAAGAAATAGATATTGATGCAAATGAAAGTTTCGCTTCGAGAAGATATTTTTCCTTCTATTTAATTTTCATTTTTTAAAAAAGATTTCTTTCTCATTTTGTGAATGAGCATAAATATCTCCATTAAGAGGTCGTAATACCGTACTTGACGTCAAAATTGCGTAGTGCGAACTGTCTGTTTTTAAGGGAGCCGACTGGGGTTTTTTGGTGTGAAAACTATAATAAAGAAATTCTTTTATTTATATAATATGTAATATACATTGACTTCAGTGTACATGCCAAGTAAAGGGAAAAACTATCGTCTAAGTATTTTTAGGGGTCGTCTCAAAATACGGGTACATTTACTATAGGATTAAATGGAAAGTGTTTATGTTTTGCGCTTCGGGGCAAATTTTACAAATACTGTAATAGACTATTTGCTCAAATTATAATATTTGATGAGTAATACTACAGTGTTCATTATATGCAAAAAACACAAAATTTAACCGTCTGGTTTCCGGAGGGGGAGTCTCAAAATGTCAAAATTAACCAAATTTTCCTGTATGGAGTACTACAACATAAGACAGATGCTAAGAATTTTTACAGAAAATAAGAGAAAATAATTTTGTAATTCTCAACTTCCTATATTTTTTATTTCAAGAGCACACACACACACACACACACACACACACACACATATATATATATATATATATATATATATATATATATATATATATATATATATATATATATATATATATATATAACTTTCTCTTTTATAACATTTTTGATGACTCTCTTTGAAAGAACTTCAGTACTATATAGTGTATCATAACATCAAAAACACACTACATTATGACGTCCATCTAGGTATCAATTGAAAAATCGTTTAAAAATTTAAGAAGATATCTAATTTTCTTTAAATTTTAGGCAACATATCTTTTTAGGAATGCTTTTTATGCCTTGTGATAAAATTAGTTTGAAAAATACCGTTGTTTTGTTTTCACACAGCATGTGTAAAGGGACACTATGGAACTGTATGTGAAGAAACCTGTGGAAATTGTCTCACAGGAACAGACTGTAATCAGTATTCTGGGATATGTCCTCAAGGATGTGTAGAGAATTGGCAAGGTCCCAAATGTGATGGTAAATCAAGAAAGAATGATCTTCTATTTATGAGTTGCAAGAATCATAACATGTGATAGGGTGACCAGGGTTTCATTATTGTTGTCGACACTGTTTCCAACTTTATATAATAACATGGGTAGTGGCTGTTGCTTAGTGCCCATTATTAAAGGTGAAAGTCATGGGTCTTCTCGACAACAGATTAAAACGGACGTCCCATATCACAATAAAATATATTGATAAAAACCCCTCACCACTACGTGATATGGTAAGATATTGCTTCTTTACTACGTTTCTGCACAAAAACCTTTTTTGCCTCGAGTCCTATATTTTAATTATTTTACAAAATCCAGCTACATCCCAAACATCTGATGAAATAATAAATTGTTTATTAGGAACTAAAATAAGAGTACTATTAAATACAATAACAATAAGTAGTACATTGGAAACAGCTGATGCAGATTTATTCACGCAGTGATAATGAGTTGGGATAAAGAAAAAATGTCTGTGAATCAGCTTCAATCAAATTCGTATTTTACATCAATTAGAGAAGAGGGACACGAACTATGAATGACCATTTCTTTCCTGGGTATATATAAATCCTCTGCATTAATGATGTATTTTGAAAAATCTACATCTGTTCTCTGGACATCTTGCAGAGAAAATACATGCATAAACATTTTGCTCGATTCTTTAGAATATAATTATAAAATCCTTTAATATTTTGCAACATCCCTGGATAATCACCAAACAAGCATTATGCAATGCAATGATGATCAGTGGGACTCTACATGTGTTAATCGTTGCTTGAGTTATTTGATGTACATAGTAAAGTAGCTAAAAGGGAGTTTTCTTAGTGAAAAAAATAAATGAACATCCAAATAAACAAAATGAATATGTGACTTGTTCAAGCAAACTTTGCTTATTGTTTTTGTCCACTTGTTCAAGCAAACTTGGCTTGTTGCTGTTTTTCTAACATTAATAACTAGTTCAAGCAATTAAGATTATATCTTACATCTATATATGAACATTTCACTCGTTTTTTCAGAATGTGAAGATTATAAATATGGGCCAAACTGCGTATTTAATTGTGGTCACTGCAAAAATAACACACCTTGCTCGAAGATCGATGGAACGTGTGGAAATGGTTGTGAATCTGGATGGGGCGAATCCCTTTGTATGAAAAGTAATATAATCTTATTTTCAAACATCATACACAACTAGTAATCTTTAAAAAAAACCCTTACAATCAAAAGAATTTAAAAGACGGTATTAAAAAAGTAAGAAAATTCCATCTATTTGGTGGCGGCTTCATATGAGTGAAAAATTCTGGAAAGGGACGTTAAACAACAAACAAACAAACAATCTATTTCCCCCGTTATAAATTTTTTTCCTCTGATGTTTTAATTTTTATTTATTCAATTCTCAGTGTCAACAGAAGAAGTGAATTTAGGTAAGACATTCTTATCTTCTTTTAAGAAATAAAGTATCATTTTTAAACTTTAACTTGGATGTAAATACTGGTTGCTTATATGATCTAATCTAATAAAGCCTGAAGGGCTTTTTGGTAAATCAAATCGTGTACCCACCGTATTTACATCCTAATAATTTTTTTAAAATTATTACCTCATTTTTAGGAGATTGATTTATTATAAATATTAGCATACTATATTTTTTAACCGAAGAAATTAATTATTTTTTCAAACCTCAACGATTAAACACGTCGACTACTTATGACGTCACGGTGAATTAATGGTCACATGATGAACGTGTTTACATACATACTCCTATACGCATTGTCCAAATAGTGTTATACAAGGGAAAACATTTGCAAAATACATATATTAAACTTTAATATCTACGTGAAAATATCAGTATTGAATAAAAAATATACTTAATAATTTCTGTCATTTTCTATCCCGTCTAATAGTTACAATTTTTAAAATTATTAGAACCGACTGAACATTTTGCTCTGACATATTAGAAGAAAATAGTTCCCATTAGATTTGGATGAATTTCTAATTTTTCCTTTTTTTGATTATCTGAATAAAGACCTACTAATTTTAGCTTTGAATCCTATTCTTTAAAAAAAATTACATAACATTTACAGCTATTTTCTATCAATAATAATTCAAATAGTGTTTCCAAAGAAAAAAAGCTTATCAAAATTATATGACGTCAAACAATTATGAATCCATTAATATA